ACCTCCCTCACCTTCACTCTACCTCCCTCACCTTCACTCTACCTCCCTCACCTTCACTCTACCTCCCTCACCTACACTCTACCACCCCTCACCTTCACTCTGCCACCCCTCACTCTCCAACCTTTACCCTCCCCCCCCCCCCCCCCCCCCTCCTCTCTCCACCCCTAATACCCCTCTGTCACCCCAGCACGGTTGTCAAGGACCGCCAAGGGAGGAGGACTCTTGACATTACTGCGGAGGAAAAAACCACTCGCTTTGGCCACTTTCTCATGCGTCACCACGGGGCTCAGAGGCCACCCCGTCATGCACTCTCCGCCCTAAAGAGCACACAAGACTGCTTGTGGAGGTACGGAGGTCTGCCACCAGACTCCTCCCTGGACACTCTGGCTCACGAAGAAAGGTTGGAAGAAGTGGAGGTGAGGCCGCCAGGAAACACAAGATAGCACACTTGACAGACGTACCGTGTGTGCTCTCACAGGCTGCACGCCCAGCAAATGTTTACCTCGGTTGATAATATAACACAAATGAGTAGATATTAATGGAAGTATTAACAGATAATATATAATATATGTATTGATGGAAGTATAAGATATTACGAAACACACGCAAGAAAAAAGATTGGAAGTTAATACATTAGAGAACCGAGGGTTAGAAAGGCGGGGTTGAGCAGGAACACGCAGGTGAACGCTCGCGCTCACAAATACACCCCACAAGACATTTGAACTCTCAAGGTCTGACATATTGCTACACAATTACATCTTGGGGTTAAAAGTTCAGACGTTCACCGGCTTACACCAGCCTCGCCGGGACCTATTGTGGTGTACCCTACTGGTGGTGGTGGTGGAAGGTGTACCCTACACCCATCCTGTGGGTGGTGGTGGAAGGTGTACCCTACACCCATCCTGTGGGTGATGGTGGAAGGTGTACCCTACACCCATCCTGTGGGTGATGGTGGTGGAAGGTGTACCCTACACCCATCCTGTGGGTGGTGGTGGAAGGTGTACCCTACACCCATCCTGTGGGTGATGGTGGTGGAAGGTGTACCCTACACCCATCCTGTGGGTGATGGTGGTGGAAGGTGTACCCTACACCCGTCCTGTTGGTGGTGGTGGAAGGTGTACCCTACACTCATCCTGTGGGTGGTGGTGGTGGTGGAAGGTGTACCCTACACCCGTCCTGTGGGTGGTGGTGGAAGGTGTACCCTACACTCATCCTGTGGGTGGTGGTGGTGATGGAAGGTGTACCCTACACCCATCCTGTGGGTGGTGGTGGTGGTGGAAGGTGTACCTTACACCCATCCTGTGTGTGGTGGTGGAAGGTGTACCCTACACTCATCCTTCGGGTGGTGGTGGTGGAAGGTGTACCCTACACCCATCATGTGGGTGGTGTTGGTGGTGGAAGGTGTACCCTAAACCCATCCTGTGGGTGGTGGTGGTGGCAGGTGTACCCTACACTCATCCTACGGGTGGTGGTGGTGGCAGGTGTACTCTACACCCATCATGTAGGTGGTGGAAGGTGTACCCTACACCCATCCTGTGGGTGGTGGTGGAAGGTGTACCCTACACCCATGCTGTGGGTGGTGGTGGAAGGTGTACCCTACACCCATGCTGTGGGTGGTGGTGGAAGGTGTACCCTACACCCATGCTGTGGGTGGTGGTGGTGGAAGATGTACCCTACACCCATCCCGTGGGTGGTGGTGGTGGTGGAAGGTGTACCCTACACCCATCCTGTAGGTGGTGGTGGTGGAAGGTGTACCCTACACCCATCCTGTGGGTGGTGGTGGAAGGTGTACCCTACACCCATGCTGTGGGTGGTGGTGGTGGAAGATGTACCCTACACCCATCCTGTGGGTGGTGGTGGTGGTGGAAGGTGTACCCTACACCCATCCTGTAGGTGGTGGTGGTGGAAGGTGTACCCTACACCCATCCTGTGGGTGGTGGTGGAAGGTGTACCCTACACCCATCCTGTGGGTGGTGGTGGAAGGTGTACCCTACACCCATCCTGTGGGTGGTGGTGGAAGGTGTACCCTACACCCATCCTGTGGGTGGTGGTGGTGGCAGGTATACCGTCACACAATGGGCTCATGCAGCATATACACGAGTCATTATGGATGAAATATTTTGATATTTCATGAACAATAGTGATAAAGAGTTCTGCACATTTTTGGAATTGTTCCTTATCTTTTTTATTATTTTATTTTATTTGTATTTGTATATACAAGAGTTGTTACATTCTTGTACAGCCACCAGCACGCGTAGCGTTCCGGGCAGGTCCTTACTCCTAACTCCTCCCCGGAATACGACCCGCCAAATTATTATCAATTACATCGAGAATTATGATGCGGAGGCAGTTTTCCCGATAGTTTGCTTGTGATAGGATCTACAACAGCATGTGGTGCAAACGTCTTGGATCACTTATAACAAAGCGTAAGTCGAGAAATAGAAACACGCAGATATCTTCTGGTATCGAGAAATGATGTAAGCATTTTAGTTAACCATCCCCTCATACAGGACACGTTTTCAATGATACTTCGTTAAGTCACAGAAAACGTAATCTCTCGACAGCTTCACAATGTTCCAGAAAATGGATCTAATGCAAATACATAAATTACAGTTTATATTCAGGGTCTCTACGCCACCAGGGTCACACCTCCTGGAGGAGCCAGGGGCCTGGATCACTAGGGGGTCACACCTCCTGGAGGAGCCAGGGGCCTGGATCACTAGGGGGTCACACCTCCTGGAGGAGCCAGGGGCCTGGATCACTAGGGGGTCACACCTCTCCTGGAGGAGCCAGGGGCCCTGGATCACTAGGGGGTCACACCTCTCCTGGAGGAGTCAGGGGCCTGGATCACTAGGGGTCACACCTCTCCTGGAGGAGCCAGGGGCCTGGATCACTAGGGGTCACACCTCTCCTGGAGGAGCCAGGGGCCCTGGATCACTAGGGGTCACACACCTCTCCTGGAGGAGCCAGGGGCCCTGGATCACTAGGGGTCACCTCTCCTGGAGGAGCCAGGACCCTGGATAACTAGGGGTCACACACCTCTCCTGGAGGAGCCAGGGGCCCTGGATC